CATGCGGTATATTTTTGTCCCTCTTTGGAGGGGGTGAGGTTATGATGTGTGAGAGTTATCAGGATTTTTTGGGGGGGGGGGGGCAATGGGCCATTCCTACGGGCCTTAATGTTGGATGTAACTGGGGTGAGGTGATGTGGGTAGAGCCTTAATGTATGTTATGACGGATTATTTAACAGGTATCTTGGGGGATGAGGGAGGTTTAGGGGAGGAGTAGAGTTGAGGATAAAGCGTATAGCAGCGAAGATTTTATAGAAAACTATGCGTAGAATAGGCAAGTTCTATGGTGGGAGGTGGGTAGTTAGCTTTTCGGAGGGTTACCGGAATCTCACCGTGGGGGCCCTTCTCCTCAGAACCCAGGGGCGGGCAAAGGGTTGTCTCCTACGGGGGATACTGAGGGTGGGTTGTGTGGTTTAGGCTTCTTTGTAGTGTGGTTGGTGGGAGGGTTATGATAGAGTGGAAGGGTGATGAATGAGGATTGGGAATCTATGGGTTATGTTCACTGCATACAGGATAACCTTAAAAACCATGATGACTAAACTTTGGATTCGGGTTTACGAGCAGAATGATGTTTAAGATAAGCACACAAGTTAACTTGATCGTTGTATAACTTATGTTTGTGAAGTGCTGTGACCCTGCACAGGTTGCGTTGTGGGGAAAAATTTGTCTGCTATGTTTAATATATGAAATCATGATCTTTGGTTTTAGTCAATTTGTATAATCACATATAATGACACCTTTTCTATGTACCTATCATGTTATGTAATGATATATGAATTTAATGGATAGATGAGATGAGGTATTAGGTTGGATAGCATGGGCATTTAATGTTGTGTGATGCCCTTAATGGGGTTTCTATGGTGATTGTAAACTGGTTTTGTTCAATGGTGTTTTTGGGGAAAAAAACCAAGGTGGAACCATGTACGAACTTGTTATGTCATTATTTTTAAATTATGATACTTATGTGCATGAGGAATTTTTATTCCCCATGTTAACGCTCAGTATAATAACATGATAATAGGGACAAGGGGGGGGGGGGTCGTATGTGTCGGCAAGAAGTAAGTTGCGGCGAGTCTTTTAGGCAATGGAGAATTATAATTATATGTAATTATTTGTTATATATTATCTTTTAGACGGTTTATATAAAAAAAAAAATCAGCAATGATGTACTAGTGTTTCAATATAGGGGATAAGGTTTTTATGTCCTGTAACTAGGACAGTTTTGATACCTTGTTAGGTTTTGTAGTTGTATGGGTTGTACTTGCGTATATTAATGTTATGTCTTTTACTTGAGGGTGTTTCTGCCCAGTGTTTATGTGGGGGGTTCGTGTGAGATGTTATCAATGTAAGTTTATTGAGGATTAGGTTTGCATAATGTTTAAATTAATGTTCCGTATTAATTTTAATTTTGTATGTTAAATAATATTTATTGTGCACTTTGTGCAAGGGGTCTAATTTTTCAGAGTTGTGGGGGATTTAGTGGCACAGACATAAATTTTGTGTTTTTGGTTTTTTGCTAATTTTTTTTTTTTTTTTTTTTTTTTTTTTTTTTTTTTTTTTTTTTTATTTTTTTTTTTTTTTTTTTTTTTTCGATGCTGGAGCTCTCTCGCTCTTTATTATGTTAAGACTTTCCTGCTATTTGAGTAAAGTATTTATTGTTGGTATGTCTTTGCAATGTTAATTGTAGGGTTAGGTTGCCTTTTGTTTAATGATTGTATAATTTTATCCTTAGTATGCTGCATCATATCATTGTGTACTTTGTGGCAAGGAGGTTTTACTGTATGTATAATAGGCATGATTTGTAGGTTTAGAATTTGTTGATGTTTTTTCTGAGCAGGTGTTATCCTGTTCGTTTCCTTGTTCGGTGATGGTATATTCTTTAATACAATATGAATGTAACACTTGTGGTATGTTATGGGGTTGATGGTAGGTCATTGTATTTTCAAACGGTTAATAATTGTGTTCTTTTATTTATTTATATCTTGTACTGTGTCCTTTTAAATAAAATATAAAAAAAAAAAAAAAAAAGTCCCAAATAAGTTTTTATTCACCACTTCAACTAATTTATCATACACATCAACCTCCTGCGGACGATACCGTAAGAGCATATGGAATACATGAACAAGGATATGTATACTAAGACGTATATACACTTAGCCGTAACTGATGGTATGTATGTATATATTTAACCACGAACGAGTGGTATTGATCAAAAACCTGGCAGCCAAGGATTCGCCCATTTTGTACTGGCGCCCTCGGGTAACGGAACCACAGCTTCAAACCCACGGGCCCACCCAATGTGGGGGAAAACTTAAATAAAAATGTTTTTAAACTTAGTTTTATGAAGCGATTACATGGGGTAGTTTTGAAGATACGTCTGATGGGTAATGGGGGGAAGTTTTGGGTTGGAAATTTGGGAACACCTAAAAGGGCTTGTATGCTTTTTACTTTGTGAGTTTAGTGTTTGAGTTAGACTTGCCTAGTCTGTGCCAGTGGCCTATTGCAGTACCCTCTTTTTTAAATATTTTAGGGACTAGGATCATCAGTAACAATTTTTCTTTTTTTAAACCCAAAAAATCTTCCGATAGTGTCCCGTCGTATTCACAAAATTTGTTTCTCACCCCAAATAAAGCTTAAAATGATTAAGAAAAAAGCACACTCGTTGATTGTAATTAGATCCCAACTGTTGGTCACAAATAGAAAAAAAAATATCATTACGAAGAAATTAAGTTCCCCCCCCCCTAAAATCTTTAAAAAACCGAAATTTAACAAGGATATAAGTCATTTTGTTTTTATTGGTTACCCACAATCTACACATTTTGGGAAAAATTATTATTATTAAAAACCCAAAACTGCAGGGGGTTTCACGGGAAACACCTGAATTATTCCTGAAAAGAAATTTTGGGGGTGAAAGTGTGACTAAGTCACGTGGGTCAAAAAAACGAAACCCTTGGGACTGCCCACTTCACACCTCTTTCAAAAAAAAGCAAAACCAAAATTTAAAATTAATTACAGTATTGAAACCACTACTTGATTATTGTTATGGCTCTATATGAAAAGTTGCTGGAAAAAATAAATTTGTTATACAAAAATTAAAAAAAACTTATATTACCACTTACCATATATTACGGGAAACACAGATATGGAACAATCTTAACGAAAACCCCCGACGCAAAATTCGATGGCCACCAAAAACTACTGACTTATAGGTGGGCGGTACTTAGTTGGGGGTTGCTTTAGGAAAATTGTTGTTTTCTGTCTTCCCACATCAATTCTTGGGTTTCCGCAAATTTTCTGTCCCAAATTTTCACAGGGAACATTAACGGGGGTTTATTATACAATTCAGGCCGAAAAAATTCAATTTGACGTCGGAAAACGTCGAATTATTAACACCATAGACTAATGCTCACTTTTTAAAATTTAAATACGGTGTCCCGGCGTTGTCCGGCTGTTCCCCCCAGCTGACTCCCCCCACTCAAATTTCTCAAAGGGGGGCAAATCAAACATATTTTTTGAACAATATTTATTTAATTTTTTATTTTAATTCCATTTGGAAAATTCGTTTGAAAAAAATCCACACATATGCTACTACTTGTAATTTATGTAACATGTGTATCGTCTTAAAAAAAACTTGCTGGTTCCCCCCTTTATTTTCCCCCATACGAAAGTTTCATATTTAACTAATTAGCTTTTGTTCCCACAGGGCAGCGGAGATCGAATCTGCCAGCCCTTTTAGGGTAGGGGAGGTGCCTGAGCCAAAAGGGTTGCAGCCACAAAAACTGTCATTCCCTTAGCCTCCTGGGGCGGGGATGGCAGGCCAGAGGGCCCAGTTGTGGGTAGGCCCCGGGGCAGGGTCCCAAAAATGGGAGGTATTGTGGGGCCCTCCCATGGGGACTTAGGGCCAGACACTCCCTAAGAGGGAGCCAAAGGGGGGGGCACCCTTGGAAAAAACCCCGGGGCCGGGAGAATACGGCGAATCTTTAAAAAAAACCGGGCCGGGGGGGGGGATTTACCCCGGAACTCTCTCCAGGAAACTCCCGTAAACTATACAACCTGAAAAAATGCAGCTCACTGAAAGTGTATCCAATATGGCCATTTCAATTTTTTATATCTCTTTTTGACGTCGTCGTGTTAAAACACACTTGTAAAAACTCTATGCCGCGGGGGCGTTGACCCCCCAAACTCTTCAGGTAAACTCCCGGTAAAAATAAAGGGCCCAAAATTTGTAACATTCAGAAATTACTAAAATAAACCCGGTCTGAAAAACAATTTAAAGACTTTTCAAAAACACTTATTGTCCCGAATAAATATAACATCAATATTTTAAATTTACTAATAAAATTTCCCATTTACCCAAACTTAAAACCTCAAGACAAGTTATAAGAATAATGTTAAATTTAAAAGCAACAAATTCACAAGTATAAAGCTTCTAATTTTTTTACCACGTTCTCATTGTAGTAATTTTTAAACCGCCCATAATGCTTGCTGATACCAGGGCTTTTGACATGCACACCCAAATATTATATTCCCTTTTACACATGAAATGCCAAAAGAAAAATTGTATTGTATAATAATATAAAATTTTCCCCTTACGGGGTTTTTGGGGCTCTTTTAAATTCCCCGGAAAAAGAGACCAAAACCCCTGAAGGTATTTTTAACGATCAGTGTGGAAGAAGGTATAAATTATTACTCTCCCTAGTTTTTTCTGGTAAAATTGGTCCCCAACAACTTATCTGCAAAATGATAGTAATAACATTACAATGACAGATATACACCTCTCGATACATTTACTTTAAAAGCAACACTTTTCTCAGGTCTATTCGACAAAAACTGCAAATTTTCTAGGTGTATGAACACTGGAACACCTCCTCCTTGATATTTATTCACCAAAAATTATACAAATTTCGCTGTATAAACACACAGAGAGATTAACACCCATCTGCTAAATAAATACTGTATTTCTGTAGGATAATAAGCAGGCACATGTTGCAATGTGATTGAAAATTATGGTAAAACTTACCCATATACTAGTTGACCAGACCTTTTGAGGTCCTGGATCATTACGTAGTCGTAAGCACAGTCATGTTGTATTCCAGCTCAAAGTGACTCCATTTTAATAATATCTTCTTCCCCTCTGGCAGTGTTATCTTCCAAGAACATTCAACATTATCAACGTAATTGCCACTGTTAACTACTGTTATGGCGCCGCTGTTACTGGTGAGTTCTAGCGGGGCAGGACAAGGGAAACAATGATTCAATTAGACTCACGAAATCGTAATGACACGATTGTAAACAAACCATACCACGGGTGGGGATAGAACCCGCGATCAGAGAGTCTCAAAACTCCAGAGTTATGTTGACGGTTTTGAGGGGACTTGAGCTAGAGTTCGTCACGGCCGCGCTAGCTGGAGATTCGTCTGTAAAAACTTGCATTTGTGGTCACAGTGGTGCCTATGTTAACCTTCCTATGGTGTATAAATATACCTAGTTGGATGAATCTTATTGTGGCTAACTGGTCCAGTGGCTAACGCGACGGTCTGGAGTTCTGAGATTCTCTGACCGCGGGTTCTAACCCCATCCGTGGTATGGTTTTTAATTCAATTAGGTTAGGTAAGGGTCGTCAGGAAACAGGACAAGTGTTTCCTAACGCGGGTCTTATATTATGACCCACAGCTGGAACTCTTGGTCATCTGACAGAGGCCTTCCACTGGCTTACCCTTCCACCACTTCAGAAATTATAATTATAACCATCAGATCTATAACCATTGCATGTTATTTAGCAGAATAGAAAAGATAACAAACCTTGGTTACCACTGCAAGTCAGTGTTGAAGTGTGCCAGACAGTGTGTTGACTCAATAAACCTGGTGAATTAAAACTGATTAATATATTGTAAATAAACAATTTAGGACACGATCACTCCTATTGCATCTTATAGTCAGGGATAAAATTGGTTAAATTATCAGTAAAATTATACAGTATATACTGTAACTTAGGTTAGGTAAGATTATATTATGTTAGGTTAGGTTAGTTAGGAAACAGAGTAAGTGTTTCCTGACGTGGGTCTTGAGCTTTTGGGCATCTGACTGAAGCCTTCCACTGGCTTACCATTCCACCACTTTAAAAATTATAGCTATGATTATAATCATTTCACTCTTAAATATGCTAATAAGAAAATGGTAATAGTAGCGTTGTTCATTGTTATTTGAGGGATAATTCGAAAAGCAAAAATACGTTAAGTATTTCAGGCAAATTTGGTCAATTTTGTGCCCAGGATGCGACCCACACCAGCCGATTAACTCACAGGTAGCTAGCTTCTTACTGCTAGGTGAACATGGACAGCAGGTGTCTTCAGGAAAGACGCCCAATGTTTTCACCCGTACCGGGGATCGAACCAGGGACCTCAGTGCGTGAGGTGAGTACGCTACCAACCGAGCTACGATGGCTAAGGCAAGGTGAGTAAAGCAGAAGGCTCTCTCCTCATTCTCTGTTTGCATTAATATTTCCTAAATGCATTGACACGAAGTTGCTGATTAATTATTACTGATTAATTAATTACTGATTGATTAATTAATTAATTACTAATTGATTAATTAATACTCACTGTTCACCTTGGTCTTCCTTTCCAAGTCAGCGATCTGTGAGGGAAAGGAGTCTACTCTTGTGCTGATGGAACTGACTTTGGTGGTGAGGGAACTTATCTGTGTGGAGAAGGAATTGACCTTTGTGTTGAGAGAGTTGACTCGTGTGTTAAGGTCGCCGACCTGTGTACTAAGAGAGTTGACTTGTGTACTTAGAGAGTTGACTTGTGTACTAAGAGAGTCGACTTTTGTGCTAATGGAGCCAATATCTGTCTTGAGGGAACTGACTTGTGCAGTGATTGAGGCGACTTCCGAGTTGCTCTCGGTAATCTCCTCTTGTTGTAAAGTTTGCAGTTCCTGTTGCACATTCAGCTTTGCTTCGAATCCTATCATAAAAAGAAAGTATATAAAGATTTAATATAGTAAGATCACAGTAAACAGGTAATATCACAATAATGCAAAACAACCACTGTGAAAAAATAATGAACTTCCAAGCGCTTTCGTGATATCTCACATTATCAAGGAACTGTAAAAATAATGGAACAGCAGAAGGCTTGTTGAATATCTGTATAAATTAAAAGAAATCACTCAAAATGTGTAACAGCAAATATAATAATAATATCAGAGTGTAAAAACTAGAGTAGTAATCCCTGTGGGATCTCTCTCTCTCTCTCTCTCTCTCTCTCTCTCTCTCTCTCTCTCTCTCTCTCTCTCTCTCCTCCTCTCAAATCTTCTCTCTCTCTCTTCTCATCATCTTCTCTCTCTTCCCTACTTACCTTAAATTTTCATCCCCCCAGAAAGGGTTCCTTGATAATTAGTGAGGGGCTCTTGATTTAGGGAATTGGATCTGTGCTCCAGTTCCCTAAGTTAAGCCTGAATGCCTTCCACATCCCTCTCCCAGGTGCTGTATAATCCTCCGGGTTTAGCGCTTCCCCCTTGATTATAATAATAATAATATAACTTGGTCACAATTGTGACCAGATCTACCTGAGTTCATTACCTTCGTAACTTACTCAGCTATCATAAGTTAGTAACTTACTCAGCTATCATAAGTTAGTAACTTACTCAGCTATCATAAGTTTGTAACTTACTCAGCTATCATAAGTTTGTAACTTACTCAGCTATCATAAGTTAGTAACTTACTCAGCTATCATAAGTTTGTAACTTACTCAGCTATCATAAGTTTGTAACTTACTCAGCTATCATAAGTTTGTAACTTACTCAGCTATCATAAGTTAGTAACTTACTCAGCTATCATAAGTTTGTAACTTACTCAGCTATCATAAGTTTGTAACTTACTCAGCTATCATAAGTTAGTAACTTACTCAGCTATCATAAGTTAGTAACTTACTCAGCTATCATAAGTTTGTAACTTACTCAGCTATCATAAGTTTGTAAACTTACTCAGCTATCATAAGTTAGTAAACTTACTCAGCTATCATAAGTTAGTAACTTACTCAGCTATCATAAGTTTGTAACTTACTCAGCTATCATAAGTTAGTAAACTTACTCAGCTATCATAATTTGTAACTTACTCAGCTATCATAAGTTAGTAACTTACTCAGCTATCATAAGTTTGTAACTTACTCAGCTATCATAAGTTTGTAACTTACTCAGCTATCATAAGTTAGTAACTTACTCAGCTATCATAAGTTTGTAACTTACTCAGCTACCACAAGTTTGTAACTTACTCAGCTATCATAAGTTTGTAACTTACTCAGCTACCACAAGTTTGTAACTTACTCAGCTATCATAAGTTTGTAACTTACTCAGCTACCACAAGTTTGTAACTTACTCAGCTATCATAAGTTAGTAACTTACTCAGCTATCATAAGTTTGTAACTTACTCAGCTACCACAAGTTTGTAACTTACTCAGTTATCATAAGTTAGTAACTTACTCAGCTATCATAAGTTTGTAACTTACTCAGCTATCATAAGTTAGTAACTTACTCAGCTATCATAAGTTAGTAACTTACTCAGCTATCATAAGTTTGTAACTTACTCAGCTATCATAAGTTAGTAACTTACTCAGCTTATCATAAGTTAGTAACTTACTCAGCTATCATAAGTTTGTAACTTACTCAGCTATCATAAGTTAGTAACTTACTCAGCTATCATAAGTTTGTTAACTTACTCAGCTATCATAAGTTAGTAACTTACTCAGCTTTCATAAGTTTGTAACTTACTCAGCTATCATAAGTTTGTAACTTACTCAGCTATCATAAGTTAGTAACTTACTCAGCTATCATAAGTTTGTAACTTACTCAGCTACCACAAGTTTGTATACTTACTCAGCTATCAAAGTTTGTAACTTACTCAGCTACCACAAGTTTGTAACTTACTCAGCTATCATAAGTTTGTAACTTACTCAGCTACGACAAGTTTGTAACTTACTCAGCTATCATAAGTTAGTAACTTACTCAGCTATCATAAGTTTGTAACTTACTCAGCTACCACAAGTTTGTAACTTACTTTAGTTATCATAAGTTAGTAAATTACTCAGCTATCATAAGTTTGTAAACTTACTCAGCTATCATAAGTTAGTAACTTACTCAGCTATCATAAGTTAGTAACTTACTCAGCTATCATAAGTTTGTAACTTACTCAGCTATCATAAGTTAGTAACTTACTCAGCTATCATAAGTTAGTAACTTACTCAGCTATCATAAGTTTGTAACTTACTCAGCTATCATAAGTTAGTAACTTACTCAGCTATCATAAGTTTGTAACTTACTCAGCTATCATAAGTTAGTAACTTACTCAGCTATCATAAGTTTGTAACTTACTCAGCTATCATAAATTTGTAACTTACTCAGCTATCATAAGTTAGTAACTTACTCAGCTATCATAAGTTTGTAACTTACTCAGCTACCACAAGTTTGTAACTTACTCAGCTATCATAAGTTAGTAACTTACTCAGCTATCATAAGTTTGTAACTTACTCAGCTATCATAAGTTAGTAACTTACTCAGCTATCATAAGTTAGTAACTTACTCAGCTATCATAAGTTTGTAACTTACTCAGCTATCATAAGTTAGTAACTTACTCAGCTATCATAAGTTAGTAACTTACTCAGCTATCATAAGTTTGTAACTTACTCAGCTATCATAAGTTTGTAACTTACTCAGCTATCATAGTTTGTAACTTACTCAGCTATCATAAGTTTAGTAACTTACTCACTATCATAAGTTTGTAACTTACTCAGCTATCATAAGTTTGTAACTTACTCAGCTATCATAAGTTAGTAACTTACTCAGCTATCATAAGTTTGTAACTTACTCAGCTACCACACGTTTGTAACTTACTCAGCTATCATAAGTTTGTAACTTACTCAGCTACCACAAGTTTGTAACTTACTCAGCTATCATAAGTTTGTAACTTACTCAGCTACCACAAGTTTGTAACTTACTCAGCTATCATAAGTTAGTAACTTACTCAGCTATCATAAGTTTGTAACTTACTCAGCTACCACAAGTTTGTAACTTACTCAGTTATCATAAGTTAGTAACTTACTCAGCTATCATAAGTTTGTAACTTACTCAGCTATCATAAGTTAGTAACTTACTCAGCTATCATAAGTTAGTAACTTACTCAGCTATCATAAGTTTGTAACTTACTCAGCTATCATAAGTTAGTAACTTACTCAGCTATCATAAGTTAGTAACTTACTAGCTATCATAAGTTTGTAACTTATCAGCTATCATAAGTTAGTAACTTACTCAGCTATCATAAGTTTGTAACTTACTCAGCTATCATAAGTTAGTAACTTAACTCAGCTATCATAAGTTTGTAACTTACTCAGCTTTTCATAAGTTTGTAACTTACCCCAGCTATCATAAGTTAGTAACTTACTCAGCTATCATAAGTTTGTAACTTACTCAGCTACCACAAATTTGTAACTTACTCAGTTATCATAAGTTTGTAACTTACTCAGCACCAAGTTTGTAACTTACTCAGCTATCATAAGTTTGTAACTTACTCAGCTGCCACAAGTTTGTAAACTTACTCAGCTATCATAAATTAGTAACTTACTCAGCTATCATAAGTTTGTAACTTACTCAGCTACCACAAGTTTGTAACTTACTCAGTTATCATAAGTTAGTAACCCTTTCTCAGCTATCATAATTTGTAATTTCTCAGCTATCATAAGTAGTAACTTACTCAGCTATCATAATTAGTAACTTACTCAGCTATCATAAGTTTGTAACTATCAGCTATCATAAGTAGTAATTTCTCAGCTATCATAAGTTGTATACTCAGCTATCATAAGTTAGTAACTTACTCAGCTATCATAAGTTTGTAACTTACTCAACTATCATAAGTTTGTAACTTACTCAGCTATCATAAGTTAGTAACTTACTCAGCTATCATAAGTTTGTAACTTACTCAGCTACCACAAGTTTGTAACTTACTCAGCTATCATAAGTTTGTAACTTACTCAGCTACCACAAGTTGTAACTTACTCAGCTATCAGAAGTTGGGAACTTACTCAGCTACCACAAGTTTGTAACTTACTCAGCTATCATAAGTTAGTAACTTACTCAGCTATCATAAGTTTGTAACTTTTCTCAGCTACACAAGTTTGTAACTTACTCAGTTATCATAAGTTAGTAACTTACTCAGCTATCATAAGTTTGTAACTTACTCAGCTACCACAAGTTTGTAACTTACTCAGGTATCATAAGTTTGTAACTTACTCAGCTACCATAAGTTTGTAACTTACTCAGCTATCATAAGTTTGTAACTTACTCAGCTATCATAAGTTTGCAACTTACTCAGCTATCATAAGTTTGTAACTTACTCACCTATCACAAGTTAGTAACTTACTCAGCTATCACAAGTTTGTAACTTACTCAGCTATCATAAGTTAGTAACTTACTCAGCTATCATAAGTTTGTAACTTACTCAGCTATCATAAGTTTGTAGCTTATTCGGCTACCATAAGTTTGTAACTTACTCAGCTATCATAAGTTTGTAACTTACTCAGCTATCATAAGTTTGTAACTTACTCAACTATCATAAGTTTGTAACTTACTCAGCTAACACAAGTTAGTAACTTACTCAGCTATCATAAGTTTGTAACTTACTCAGCTATCATAAGTTTGTAACTTACTCAGCTATCATAAGTTAGTAACTTACTCAGCTATCATAAGTTAATAACTTACTCAGCTATCATAAGTTTGTAACTTACTCAGCTATCATAAGTTTTGTACTTACTCAGCTATCATAAGTTAGTAACTTACTCAGCTATCATAAATTAGTAACTTACTCGGCTATCATAAGTTTGTAACTTACTCAGCCATCATAAGTTTGTAACTTACTCAGCTATCATAAGTTTGTAACTTACTCAGCTATCATAAGTTAGTAACTTACTCAGCTATCATA